ATATAAGTTTGTAATGATTATGTAAAACTTCTTTATATTCTAGCAACGGATTTATACATGCCAATTAAGTGTCGACCCTTAATTAACAAATACAAATAAGTTATCAATCAAATAGTTAAGCCAATTGCATTCACGATTCAAGAGTTCATAACTGGAATTTATCAAATTATATTGCACACATAATCATGGCTTTGAAATCACCCCTAGCCAAGAGGGGTTTAGCCACTCATATTTACAACAAAACGAAAGGAAATGAATTTAAACAATAGAAACAAAAGAAAGAAAACACCTAAACGCTCCAACGATCAAAGTTGGACAGCAAGCACGTCCAAGCACTTTCCTTCCTTTCCTTTGCTATGGCACAAGATGTTGGTGAGTGTTTGAAGGTTTGTTTGTATGGAGGAATGGATGTGAAGATAAATGGATGTGTTTGGATGAAGGTTGTGTTGAAAATGGGAGTGAATGATCTAACAAAGTATCAACTCAATTTATGTTACACACACTTCCTTTTATAGAGGAAGTGCATGGCAATGGAGGGGAACATGGAGTGGTGTAGCAATTGAGTGCAATGATGCATGAAATTTGAAATGATGAAGGGAACAAGGAATGGTGTAGCAATTGAGTGCAAAGATTCCATGTAATGATGCATGAAATCTGAAATGATGGAGGGAACAAGGAATGGTGTAGCAGTTGAGTGTAATGATTCAATGTAATGATGCATGAATCTAAAATGATGGAGGGAACAAGGAATGGTGTAGCAGTTGAGTGCAATGATTTAATGTAATGATGCATGAAATTTGAAATAATGAAGGGGACAAGGGTGGTGCACGGCAATGATGGAAAGGTGAATGGTGGAGTGACACCCCTTTGTGGCTGAGCTCTTTGTCCTTTTTACATTAATTATTCTTTCTCTTTAACACATTCCTAGCCTCTTTAGTCTTCAATTTCGTCCATCCACCTTGCTCCATGCATGTGCTATTCATTCCAAGCCCAAAACTGCTCCAAAATGCACCAAAATGCATCTTATTGCTTTATAAGGCCTATGGACCTACAAACACATAAAAATAGCTTAAAATACATAATTAACTAAGAAATAACAACATAAATGCATGAGAACAAGCTAACTCAGTCACATAAATATGCTCCTATCAGTAGGGATTTTCAATGAGTTCATGTGAGCTTTGTGTTGTCTATGAACCCTCCTTACCATGGATGCCCCCATCCCTTTAATAGGCCTCCTATTTTTCCCAACTATATACCATTTTTGACCAAGTCAGGCTGAATCATTCTTAGTTACTAGGGAAATTGGCTTCATTGTTCTCTCTTGGCATCCTTACTTTATGCTACCATGGTAACTTGTCTGGGGAGGTTTCATATCCACCCATCTTGGCATCTTTGCTTTTTTATCCTCAGCTTGTTCAGAGGCTTTATATTTTTTGAACACCTCCGACAAACCTTTTGTTTCTGAATCTCCACCTAACCTCTAGAACATATTCTTTGAGGTTTCTTTCTTAGCTGCCCGAATGGCACTTCTGCGGGCATCATGTTCTTCCATTTCTTTTCTTCTGGCTAGCTCTTGGTCAATAATGGCACCCAATGTTGGTATCTCGAGCTCACACTCACACTAGCATTTGCTGCATAACACCATTCCTTTGATCACAGCTGCTTGGGGTCTATTGGGCAACTTACTAACACCTTCTAATGGCTTAATAGCTTGCCTTCTTTTGCCCTTCTCTTCCCAGGTAGCCTTTGCTTTCCATTTTTCAACCCAGTTAAAGTTGATCGTGTTGATCATCATATTAGGCTGAGGTTTTTCTAGCAACAACTTCGCTTTCACTATGAGGTCCTGGATCCAATCTTTAAACTACACACAGTTAGCTATATAGTGGTTAAAGGTGTAGTGAAGCTTGCAATACTTTTTCCCTCTTAACTCTTTGGTTTAGCTATCTTTTTGGTGTTGTCGGGCAAAATTACTCTAGCCCTCACTAACTCTTCATAGATGTATGCTGCCTTGGTCAAATCAAAGGAATAAGTCTAGTACTTCGAAGGCTTCATAGATACAAAACCTTCATCATTCATCACAATCTTCTGGTATTTGACAGGCTGGACCAATCCTTTCACCATTAACAATTTGAAATGAGTGCTCATCTCTACTGCACACAACTCAATTCATTTTCCTACACTGCTATCATTCTAGACCTTCAAACTCGAACTAGTTTATTAGGGCTTTGCTCTTGTAGAAATGAGGCACTATAGACGAGTGTTTCACCTGATGTTCATCTGTTAACAAATTCTCATACTTAGTAGCTGCAATCACCAACTCCTAAAGCTCATTAAACTACACATCATAAAACTTTTTCCTTAAAGCTTTCTGGGCAATGGTTATGAGCTGAGCATGATTGATTGGAAATTGGCAATCCTTATCCTTCTAAACTTCATTATGAAGTCATCCATAGACTCATGTTCATACTGTTTCACCTCCACCCAATCATTGATAGTCATCTCGGACTCTACCCTATAGAACTGCTCATGGAAGGCCATCTCCATTTGCCCCCAGTTGGCAATGGAATTAGGGGGTAATAGAGAGTACCACTGTAATAACAAGCCTACCAATGAATTCTCAAACAGTCTCAACTTGTAGTTAGGATTGTCTTCAAATGTTACATAGTAGTTGGAAAAACTTGAAGATATGGTCTTTGGAAGACACATTACAGTCTTCCCTATTGAATGTTGGGAACGCGAGCATCTTGAAGTTATGGGGAAAAGGGTTTTACTCATCAATGGACTCAAGGTAGGGCTTCTAGTATGTTATTTTGAACATCGGCCGAGCCTGTGGTTGAACATTCTGGACCACCATCCTTCTCAATTCGGCCAACTCATTTCTAAGTTGCTGGTTAACTGCATTGTTATGTGGGGTATAAGGAGGTCCCCACTTCAAGCTACGCTCATTGCCTGAGAAAGCCTTATTATGTGGCTCTAACTGTCTCTACCTAGCTTCCCCTCCTTTATTAGCCAACGGTGGTGGCCTATAATTGAGGGGTTTGCCTGCAGTTATGGGCAAACTCCTTCCACTACTCTCTCCCACTTGCCGAGTCATCCCAAACTTCATTTCTTCTAACCCAATCTATCCCCTACCATCTATTGGGAATAATTGAGGGTTGGGCAAACCTGTTTCCTAGATCTCTTCTTCCTTTGGTCGACTAGCCCTAATTTTCTCATTCTTCTTCCCCTTATCCTTCTTTTCCTCGAGTAAGGGAAGTAGAGAGATCACTGGTTCCTTTTCAAGGCTTGCTTCCCTGATCACCTCCTTGCCATAACCATTTCTTGGTGTGGAGTACTCTAACTCCAACTTTCTCTACAGAGTTTCCATTAAGGAACAGAGTCTGCTGACCTCTCATCTGGTTTCCAGAGTGATCTTCTCCATACTTCTCAACACTTGCACCATAATAGCTTGTCAGTCTTCGTTCGTAACTTTTTTGCCCAACTTTTCAGAAGAAGTTAGGCTTTCCATAATAGCAGGACCTCATAAGGAGGGAAAGTCTTTTAGGTGATCTATCATGTTTGATCCTTTTGGACAAAAGGGTTGCCCATACTCTGCTTTCCACTTGAAAGTTCACTCCTTCCTTTTTCTTCTTGGCATACAAGACTACTAGGATCCCACCGAGCATGCCAAAACTATGTTTAGATATGATTTCCTTCACACAGCTCCTCGAGGAGATGACACTTTGTTGGTTGTCGGACAAGTTCTTGATGCTTGGTGTATTGCAAGAAGAGTTTACAGTTAGTTCGAAATGTGCCTTTATAGGGCATTTGGTGTAGGTCTTGAGGCTCACAATCAAAACTAACAAGGATCTGAACGTGCTACTGTTATCTTAGTATAACAGATTGTTAATAGGTGTGAGTTAAATTGATTGCTCACGCCCCAAGTTACTCAAACTTTTTGTTTATCAAAGGATTGTCAAAGATGAGTTAAGTTTGCATTAAGTTCTTTTTCTTGCCTTGTAAACAAGGACTTTTAGTTCATAATCTTGTATGTCCAAAACGAAGGGAGTTCAAGGCCCTTTCAACCACTTTCTCGATCAAAGTTTACTTTAGTGAAAACTGGTTTTGTTAACTTCTTTTGATTCAATTGCAAATGAGGCTTTTAACTATAAAGTAGTTGAAATGACTTAAATCCATAAGGGAACATGCATTGAACCATAGATCTACTACATAAAAGTACAAACAAAAAAGACTCGGGCAAGACTTAACCTTGTCAGGTAAGGTTGAACTTCTTGCATCCACTTCTCTTTGTGTTTACAGAGGTTTGTACGCTAAGGAAGATGAAAATTAAATAGGTTTTACACAAGGGAATCGATATTACAACACTATGGGAAGGTAGCAAAGCTTTTACATTAGACAAAAGATGGCTTTTACTAAGGGAACTATAGCTGAAAGGACTGAATCTGGACAAGTTTCTACTTTTTTTTTGGTACAAAATGGCTTGAGAGCAAAATTTGTATGTCTTTTGATTGGTTGGTTGAGTATCCTTATCTCTGATGTCCCTTTCTCCATTTATAGACAATTTGGCCCGACCCTTCTTGCCTTGCCTTTAACTAATATCTTTTAGAGGGCAGTGAGTCATCCCTTAGTTACTTGCCATGCCCTTGAAAAGTTCTATTTGGCTGGTGGTGAGTTGGTTGCTATCACCCATCACTTCAATCATAGGCATATGGCCCATGCTGCGACTGAAATGGCTTCCCATTGCTTCAGGCCTGTCAACTGGGCTTCGGGCAAGTCTGATTTGTTTTGGCGCGTTTTAGCTTTCACTAACACAAAGCCCAATGTTAAATATTAACCCAAACATGATCAATTTATCTTAGTCATTCATTGTACATTGTGCGGCTAGCTTTCGTTAGATACTGTTTTTGTTGAACGCTTCGTATATTTAGAAAATTTGGACATGCAGTATCCAAAGTTCACCATGTGTAGTCCAATGGATATTAGAAAACAGTAAAACGTACTCCAAAAGAAACAATATATTAATCAGAGAAATATTTGCATACCATTTGCGTATACCATATCCGTCTAAAAATAATAACACTTCATTGTTGGTCTTATAACCTAAAAAGGACATTCTATGCACTCGTCGTACGCAACAATTTTTCGATTTTAAATCTCATGTGAAGTCGGACAATGGATTGTAAACAGATAAATATAATACCTAATTCAGAACAAAATCTTTGGTTTTCCACTTTAATCCGAATTCCCACAATAGTAGTTTTCTAGACTGGAGGAATTACTGTATGCCCTGCTCTTGAAGGCCTAATTTGAAAGAATCTTCCGCTTGAAAATGATCTCTTCATTGCAACTGGACTCATAACACAATGCAGGAGTACTCCTTTTCTATGGCTAGATTTTCCTACTCCTCCAGCGGACCGTTTCGAAGGACCAGCAACATCATCTGAGCCTCCCACATGATCTATATCATTGTCCTCTTCATCGTACTCGTCATTCATGCAAATAATATCTGCGACTAAAACACGGTTCCCACGTGAATCGTCCATGGAAACTGACCTTCTAACTACTTGATGACATCCCTCATGGTCTCCTCCAATCTCAATGATGGTACTCTCTCTCCCTTCTGCATTTCCCAAATCACTAAAAGCACGTACTGATGATGTCTTCGGAATAACTTCATCTCCACGAATTACATCCACGTTTTGAGAAGAACCCCTTTCTGAATCTTGTGCCGTTACCGCATTTTCATTTGCTCCTTGGCTTTCAGCAAATGATGATGTATCATGATCGGTTAATCGAGGACTTTCAGACACTGCATTGGGATGCAATTGAAAAGCATTTGCAGAAACAGAAACTACGTTAGCGCGACACAAAGGGCAATTGGAGTGAGATTTAAGCCATGTATCAATGCAAGGGAGATGGAAAGCGTGATTGCATTTAGGCAACAGCCTCAGGCTCTCATCTTCTTCAAACTCACTCAAACAAACCGAACAATCTGTTCCTTCAACCAATCCATCTCCTTTCTTGTACTTACAAACTGTTAATGACTTAATCAAATCCTCATCTAAGCCAGCCGTTGCTACATGCCATGGCTCATGGATCGACGGGTTGTAAGTGTCATCGAGCTCCTCATTCAGGCCAGGACTTTCTCTTCTTGCTCTCCTCCGGTCCTCGTTGCCACAGTACTTGGAGATTACGGCGTAGTAGCTCACAAGAAGAAAGGCACTGACCAAAATGCCAATAATTGCAATAACAAGAGGAGAGAAATTTGGAGACGAAGACGATGAATCGTCTCTAGGAAACTCAAGGGCAGGTGGGGGTGGTATTGTGATGTAACACCACTGTGGGCAATACAAACTACAAAAGCCTTGAGAACAATCGTTTGTGTTCATATATGGTATCCAAGTTTTAGGACTGACTTGAGACCCCATCACTAATCTGGATTCTAAAACCCACCCACCCACGCACCCAATACTCACATTCTCAATATCATACTTTTCTTGCTTCGCAAGCAAAATCTGGCAAATAATTCAAAACTATATGCCCTAGAGATCAACACAAAGATTAAAAGACAAAGATGTTAACGAAAAATATTAACTGAGGCTAAAACAGGTGCGCGACAATTAATATAGCTGAGGTGCTAAATTTAGTACTGCAGAGTTGAGGGAATTGGCTATTGAAATGACTAAAAGTTGTTTAGAGCTCCGTAAAAGTTTGAGTGTGGACCTTAGCGTTGGAGATGGCCTAATAAGCAACTCAGAAGGACATTAGAACAGAAGACCAAAAAGGGTTTACCTGAAGATTGTTGATTAGATTGGATGGGTTGGGGATTTTTCTTGCTAGCAATGAGCACACACTGAACTTGTAGAGATTCTGAAGAGTTGTCAATGCAGGAACAGCAAGTTTGCGCAATTTAAATTTGTTTGCAGAGACAAGATGGGTTGGGACTTGTGGGAGAAAAAAAGCAGCTTACTTGGAAAGCAAAAGCAGACATATTAGACTACAAGATGAGTTGTGTTGTGTTTTCTGCTTTTCCTTTTTTATTTCTTTTTCTTTGTTCATTCTCTTTTATTTTTTTTTTCTTCTTTTTCTTTTTTCTATCTTTTTGGGAGATAATGTTGTTGACTAACGTGCTGGTGTTGGTTGGGAGTTTGATTTAATGAATGCCTGCCTTTTGTTGTTGTCCGAAGAAAAAGACAAATACAGTTGCAAGTGAACATACATCTCAAGGTGATCTGCTCTAGATGAGGAACCTCTCCGTATCATGTTTGTGAGGATCATACATCGTGCGGTTAACTTTTGTTAGAATTGTTTGTGTTGAATTTTAAATAATAAAAAAATTAAAATAATTTATGATCGCATAATGTACGATGAACGGAGAAAATGTAAGGATCCCTTGGACTAGGATCCTCACACAGAGAATCGGGATGGGATCCAAATCCCTCTGCTCTACTCTCTTCCATTAAATTGGTGAAAGAGGCATTCTACCTATAAACTAAAACTAGAGCCGCCATGATGGGTGTACCAAACTAGGCCTGGCAATTCCTGACACGACCTAATAACCCGACACGATACGACACGAAATTAACAGGTGTTCGGGTCGACACGATAACAAAACGGATCGTTATCGGGTAACCCGATAAGCACCTGTTAAGATAACGGGTTTGTTCGGGTATACACGTGGGTAACACGATACACGATAAGCAGAATATTAATTTAATAATTTATAACCCTAAAAAAATACTATAATAATTATATATATATTAATTTAACAATTTTATACCCCTAAAAACTATAATAATTATATATATATATATGTATATATATTAAATTAACTATAATAATTATAATAATTATATATACTATAATAATTATACCCAAAATATTAACTCTAATAATTATATATATATATATATTAAATTTTTTACCCCTAAAAACTATAATAATTATACATACAAAATAAATAAATTTAAATCTACTTAATAAATAAATATATATATACACACACACACCATTGAACTTCATGGGATACGAATTATACGAAACTAATTTCAACGATCCAACCGTCAAACATGTTTGTATATACTTCGAGATCGCATACGCCAAAAATTGCAAAAAACAAACTTTCAGAGAGCAAGTAACGGGACAAAACTTTTTTATGGTTATAAACGAAAAATCACGATTTAACGGTCATTTTAACTCCGATTTTGATGATTCTTTACAACCACACTCCTTGACCATATATGAATACAATGATTGAATTCGATCTTCAATTTAAAATATTTACACTAGTGGATACCACAAAATCTTATGTTATACTTAATAAAAGTACGAATAAACTCTTAAGTATTAGTGAATCTATTGTTTTGATGGGATACTCATTCTACAAAACTAGTTTCAATGATCCAACCGTCAAACATGTTTGTATATACTTCGAGATCGTATACGCCAAAAATTGCAAAAAACAAACATTCAGAGATCAAGTTATGGGACAAAAGTTTTCGACGGTTATAAACGAAAAATCTTGATTTAACGGTTATTTTAACTCCGATTTTGATGATTTTTTACAACTACACTCCTTGACCCTATATGAATACAAGTAATGAATTCGATCTTCAATTTAAAATATTTACACTAGTGGATACCACAAAATCTTATGTTATACTTAATAAAAGTATGAATAAACTATCAAGTATTAGTGAATCTATTATTTTGATGGGATACTCATTCTACGAAACTAGTTTCAAAGATCCAACCGTCAAACATGTTTGTATATACTTCGAGATCGCATACGTCAAAAATTACAAAAAACAAACATTCAGAGATCAGTTAACGGGACAAAACTTTTCGACGGTTATAAAAAGAAAAATCACGATTTAACGGTCATTGTAACTTTGATTTTGATGAATTTTTGCAGCTACACTCCTTGACCTTATATAAATACAATGATTGAATTCGATCTTCAATTTAAAATATTTACACTAGTGGATACCACAAAATCTTATATTATACTTAATAAAAGTATGAATAAACTATTAAGTATTAGTGAATCTATTGTTTTGATGTGATACTCATTCTACGAAACTAGTTTCAATGATCCAACCGTCAAACATGTTTATATATACTTCGAGATCGCATACGCCAAAAAATGCAAAAAACAAACATTCAGAGATCAACTAACGGGACAAAACATTTCGACGGTTATAAACGAAAAATCACGATTTAACGGTCATTTTAACTCCGATTTTGATGATTTTTTACAACTACACACCTTGACCCTATATGAATACAATGATTGAATTCGATCTTCAATTTAAAATATTTACACTAGTGGATACCATAAAATCTTATGTTATACTTAATAAAAGTATGAATAAACTCTTAATTATTAATGAATCTATTGTTTTGATGGGATACTCATTCTACGAAACTAGTTTCAATGATCCAACCGTCAAACATGTTTGTATATACTTCAAGATCGCATACGTCAAAAATTACAAAAAACAAACATTCAGAGATCAAGTAACGGGACAAAACCTTTCGACGGTTATAAACGAAAAATCACGATTTAACGGTCATTTTAACTCTGATTTTGATGTTTTTTTACAACCACACTCCTTGACCCTATATGAATACAATGATTGAAATAGATCTTCAATTTAAAATATTTACACTAGTGGATACCAAAAAATCTTATACTATACTTAATAAAAGTAAGAATAAACTATTAAGTATTAGTGAATCTATTGTTTTGATGGGATACTCATTCTACGAAACTAGTTTCAATGATCCAACCATCAAACATGTTTATATATAATTCGAGATTGCATACGCCAAAAATTGCAAAAAACAAACATTCAGAGATCAAGTAACGGGACAAAACTTTTCGACGGTTATAAACGAAAAATCACGATTTAACGGTCATTTTAACTCCGATTTTGATGATTTTTTACAACTACACTCCTTGACCCTATATGAATACAATGATTGAGTTCGATCTTCAATTTAAAATATTTACACTAGTGGATACCACAAAATCTCATGTTATACTTAATAAAAGTATGAATAAACTATTAAGTATTAGTGAATCTATTGTTTTGATGGGATACTCATTCTACGAAACTAGTTTCAAAGATCCAATCGTCAAACATGTTTGTATATACTTCGAGATCGCATACGTCAAAAATTACAAAAAACAAACATTCAAAGATCAATTAACGGCACAAAACTTTTTGACGGTTATAAAAAGAAAAATCACAATTTAACGGTCATTTTAACCCTGATTTTGATGATATTTTGCAGCTACACTCCTTGACCTTATATGAATATAATGATTGAATTCGATCTTCAATTTAAAATATTTACACTAGTGGAAACCTCAAAATCTTATATTATACTTAATAAAAGTATGAATAAACTATTACGTATTAGTGAATCTATTCTTTTGATGGAATACTCATTCTACGAAACTAGTTTCAAAGATCCAACCGTCAAACATGTTTGTATATACTTCAAGATCGTATACGTCAAAAATTACAAAAAACAAACATTCAGAGATCAAGTAACGGGACAAAACTTTTCGACAGTTATTAACGAAAAATCACAATTTAACGATCATTTTAACTCCGATTTTGATGTTTTTTTTACAACCACACTCCTTGACCGTATATGAATACAATGATTGAATTCGATCTTCAATTTAAAATATTTACACTAGTGGATACCAAAAAATGTTATACTATACTTAATAAAAGTATGAATAAACTATTAAGTATTAGTGAATCTATTGTTTTGATGGGATACTCATTCTACAAAACTAGTTTCAATGATCCAACCGTCAAACATGTTTATATATACTTCGAGATTGTATATGCCAAAAATTGCAAAAAACAAACATTCAGAGATCAAGTAACGGGACAAAACTTTTCGACGGTTATAAACGAAAAATCACGATTTAACGGTCATTTTAACTCTGATTTTGATGATTTTTTACAACTACACTCCTTGACCCTATATGAATACAATGATTGAATTCGATCTTCAATTTAAAATATTTACACAAGTGGAAACCACAAAATCTTATGTTATACTTAATAAAAGTATGAATAAACTCTTAAGTATTAGTGAATCTATTGTTTTGATGGGATACTCATTCTACGAAACTAGTTTCAATGATCCAACCGTCAAACATGTTTGTATATATTTAGAGATCGCATACGCCAAAAATTGCAAAAAACAAACATTCAGAGAGCACGTAACGAGACAAAACTTTTCGACGGTTATAAACGAAAAATCACGATTTAACGGTTAATTTAACTTCGATTTTGATGATATTTTACAACTACACTCCTTGACCTTATATGAATACAATAATTGAATTCGATCTTCAATTTAAAATATTTACACTAGTGGATACCACAAAATCTTATGTTTATACTTAATAAAAGTATGGTATAGTACTATTGTTTTATTTTTTTTTCATAATTATTTTGGTAAACTTCTCATAATTTGAATGATTTTTAATGTTTGGTTTTTCTATGCTTAGTTTATGCAGAAGATAATTATGACGTGGAAAACCTTACTGAAAACATTATCAACATAACTCTTGAAGGTAATAGATCAAGCCAAAGTTCCAATGCAATTTCATGTTGATCGATGTAAATCGAGGATTTTTTAAATTGAGGTTTAAACTTTTGAGAAAGATTTCACAACCTTGAAAACAAAAACTGTTTCATTTTGCATATCTTTGCACATTTAAAATTTGTAATAGATTAGTAGTGTATGTATTATTTTTTTATTAGGCTCTTATTTTCGAGTGTAGATGTAGTACTTAAACGACAAATATGTTTTAATGTTTTGAAGTAATATTTATGTGGCAATGTGTGGTATGTGCAAATTTAAGAAAAAAAATATATTTTTCTTAACGGATCATAACGGGTCATAACGGGTCGGGTCACTTTACCCGTTGGGTAAAGTGACACGACCTGTTAAGGACCCGTTAAGATAACGGGTGTGACACGACACG